TACATAATACCTCATCTCAGAAATATAGACAGATAACTCAAACTACTATTCAATATTGGAGGAGGAGTATTATGATATTAAGCTAATTTCATATCTTCTGTTCAGTCAGTATAAAAAGTAAAGAGATTTATTATACTAAGTTTAATAAAAAGGTATAGACTAAAAAAGGAGGAGTATTATGATATTAAGCTAATTTCATATCTTCTGTTCAGTCAGTATAAAAAGTAAAGAGATTTATTATACTAAGTTTAATAAAAAGGTATAGACTAAAAAAAAGGAGGAGTATTATGATATTAAGCTAATTTCATATCTTCTGTTCAGTCAGTATAAAAAGTAAAGAGATTTATTATACTAAGTTTAATAAAAAGGTATAGACTAAAAAAAGGAGGAGTATTATGATATTAAGCTAATTTCATATCTTCTGTTCAGTCAGTATAAAAAGTAAAGAGATTTATTATACTAAGTTTAATAAAAAGGTATAGACTAAAAAAAGGAGGAGTATTATGATATTAAGCTAATTTCATATCTTCTGTTCAGTCAGTATAAAAAGTAAAGAGATTTATTATACTAAGTTTAATAAAAAGGTATAGAATAAAAAAATTATATTCTTAACTTATTGGTTAAGGTTAAAGAAAGTTTAGTTTTAAACATAAATAACAAATTCTTGATTATTGCACTCTGGTCTTTCATATTTCTTTTAGGATTTATTTTTACATTCTCCCATTCTTTCTTGGACAGGTGTAGAATGGCAGTATTTATATTATACCCCTTGACCTCACAGCTTACAGTGTCCAAATAAAACATTATTTTCACTCTGTTTTAACTTAAAAAAATAATTTTAAGTAAGAGGTAAGTATTACTTTCAGAAAATCCAGTGAATTAATCCTTAAATTTACTACCAGACTTAGGAACTCATCTCTTGGACAAATATTGGATTTTAAATTTGTTTACATTTTTTGTATACAGTGGTGGCTCAGTGAGTGAAAAAAAAATACTAATTATTTAAAAATGTCTAAAAAGTTTACTTAAATATGGAAATTATTTTTTCTTTTAATTCAGATTTAGAGCGTTATCTTTCAAATAAAACCTGTAGCAGGAGGAGAGCTATGGAAGAAAGATTTATTCTCATGTTTACGTTTCCTCTATTATGGCCATTGTTATATCCATGATATAACAACACCGATATTTCATGGATGGAACAGAATGGCTAAAAGGAAAAAGAATGACAAACATGCTTTGTTCTCAAAGAGACTTTTATATACTAAGACTTACTCAAAAATCATACGCACACACACACACACACATATATATATATATATATATATATATATATATATATATATAACACACACACACACATCCAACATGGGACTATATCACCTATATCTACACAGAAAAGCATAAGGAGGAACAAAAAGGAAAGGTCATGCATATAATTTGGAGATACTACTGCCCTGGAGAAGCCATTTTTAGGACTCCAGATTTAAATGAGCCAGAAATTCCAAATGGAAACGACATCATGTGCTTGTAAACTGCTGGAGGAGGCAGATTTAGCCTTAGCTTGGGCCCTTTGGTCCAGGCTAGAAGAAAGCAACCTGAAAAAGGACTGTACCTTTTGTCACTGCGTGGAGTGACGTCACAAAGTGGCTGTCATATGATCCATGTGACTTATCTCCACCAAAGGGTGATAAGCACCTTCTGTCTCTTTACAAACTGAAATTTAAGTTCAAAGAAGACATTTAAAATATTTAAAATGTTTTTTTTATTTTTTTGTTTTTTCTTTTAGAAAGTGTGTGTTGGTACCTATGAAAAACATATAGTTAAATTTTTATTTTAAAGCGGTCATCTAATGTTCTCTGAAATGATGTCTCTGGCAATAAATTGCCTCTCTTTATAAAATTTCCTCACTGATTTCTCCTTCAGTCATTTGTGGCCAAGATGTTTATTTATGTTTTCCTTTTTTAGTTGTATCCCAGTAAATAATATAAAACAAATTTAAACACAAAATAAAATTCTTCCTTTCTCTTTGGAAATTCTTAATGCAGAATAATAAAGAAAAACAGTTTTTAAAAGCTTCATCAACTCTGGAAGGCTTCGATTTAGAAAAGAAAAAAAAAGTCTAAATTTGGTACTCACTTTTTGTTTTTATCTTTCATTTACATGCCAAGAAACAATTCCTGCTTTTTCACCCCTTCCAATCTTCCTAGTTGGGGAAAAAATACTTAAAAGAAATAAAACAACAAAAAAACATGGAGTTACATTCAGCATGTCTACTTATTTTTACAAAATCTTCTTCGACTAAACTGTAATTTTTTTATCACCTGCTTTCTTGCAATGATTTTTTTTTTTACCACTAAAAAATGTCTTTACAAAGCAACAATTCTTTTACAAATTAAACAATATTTTAAAAAATACCCTTTCTAAAATAAATAATTTTAATGAGCTTATCCATTTTTATTTTATTTTTTAAATTAGCACTTAATTAAAAAAAAAATCCAAGGTAAATAATTTTTTTGTTTACAAAAATGATTATTTATTCATCTTTTTAAAACTGTCACGCAATGATAGTCAGAAGGGTGTCAAGGCAACCCGGACCCTTAGTGGAGTTGGAATTCACATATATTTATTTCTGTTCTTACTCACACAAGATAATGGCTGATGCTAGAAGAACCAGAGATGAGAAGATATTAATTTTAGAGGGTTCAGTTCGACATTCTAACCACCTGAAGAGGGTCAGAGCCTACAACTGCCGAAACATAATAAATATGGCGACAAAGATGAGGACAATAGCCCGAATAATGTAAATAGTGTACATAATACCTCATCCCAGAAATATAGACAGATACTGAAAGGCTGAAATGTTCTAATAAATATAGCGACAAAGATGAGGACAATAGTCCAAATAATGTAAATAGTGTACATAATACCTCATGTCAGAAATATAGTTTTACCAAATAGCAATCCAAGATGCCCTGTTCAAACAGAAATTCATAATTACTAATTTGCATATACAGACAAATATAATCTTACTGAATGGGATGAACTAGCATACTAAAATATTAGAAATCAAAAATGATGTTCCAGATATTTGATAAATCTGTGGATGAATACTCTTTTTTACTTATACACATTGGCGGTCACCAAAATGTTGTGGGGGACTTCCTCACATCATAGCAGCAGAAATTAGCTTTGTGTTCACCAAGATAAAAGCATACTTGGCTGAAAATAAAACATGCAGAAATAACAGGAAAAGCATGGTAGTAAATTGTATGTTGCTTTCATACAATTTATTTATATTTTTATCTGTATTGGTGTTTTGTATTTTTTAGGTTACTATTGTTTTATGGTACATGTGATAAAAGAGAGAAATTTACTTTGTAGTATTACAAGCCATATCACAGAGAGAAGTTGGACATGTGTTGCTCATACCAAGGTCCATGGTGAAGAGATTGAATTTAACATCTTTTGGCAGGATATCCATATTTCCAGTAGGAACAGTTTTTGTTGCATGCTGGGACTATTTTTATTATTTTTAATTTCTATTTATTTTTTGCAACCAGAAGGAACACAACAACTCTGTATGAACTCTCAAAGCACAAAAAAAAAAAAAACTATGATGATAGTCAACCATTTTTAAACACTGTAACTAAATGTAGTCAACAATAAATGGTACTATAGACAGTAAATTTGGCCTTTACTTCATCTCTGTATAACACTTGGCCTTTACTTCATCTCTATATACCATAAGTTTATTTGTTTTCCCAGGTTTTAGGAGAAAAATCTCTAGTATCGGAATATCAGCAATCAAATAAATAAAACATGAATGCGCACATCATTTTTAAGACAGATAATTGGGAGATAGAATGTAAATGAAGCATAACCTTTTATGAACAAATGTGTTATTAATACATGTAAGAGAGTTCTTGCAAGTTAGAATTACTGCATCTGATATTACACTACAGAAATACATAAGAAGGTTGAGTTCTTAAAAGTTGATTTACTATGGTGGATACTTCAGTATGTGAAGATCAAAATGTCTTCTAACTTTGAATTTGTTCATTGTAACCATCGATAGGAGCAGGGAGAGTTGAATACTGTATATTCTTTCCTCATTCAATTATTCATTTAATTTCAGTTCAAATGATTCTATGATTGTGTTTGACTGTTGTCTCAACTGTGTGCTGACTATTGTATCATGTTTGACTGTCTGATGGTCTCTAATCCTCTTGATTTTATAACTGTTGGTAAGAACATTAAACACTCAGAACAAGGCATTTTTGTAGACTGATGTGTCCAAAAATAGTAGGATTGTTTGCCTTGTGTGAATTTAATAGCATATTAATATTTTGTGGGTGTGAACTAGTAAACATGATTTAAGGCAAGCTATAAAAAGATGGAAAATAAATAAAGAAAAATCCAATATAAAAATTCTTTTCCATTTTTTTTAAAGAAACATTTATTTGAGTTTACATTTTTACAGAAAAAATGTAGAAAATAAACTTTTTTTTTTCTTTTTTTTTTTTTTTTTTTTAAAAAAATCACTGGAAATTCAACTAATCAATAAAATTAAATAAAAATTTAAATATTTAGATATTGATTATCAGTTTATTTCAGAAAAGATTACTTTTGTTAAAACAAAAATTTAAGTGGATTAATTTTTTGTGGGAAATATTCTTTTATTTTTGCATTGCCATCTTTTTTTTTTTTTAAAAAAATAGTCATGAAAATCATTAAAATAAATTAAATTATAAATAAAGTGCTTGTAACCTTTGCAAACACATAATAGCCTATTTCTTGAGTTTTAACTCGATCAGTTTATTTAACTTTTTTTATTTACTGCAAAGTTTCTCTAAATGACTTGTTTTATTTATATGAGAATTTTACGTGTGGTATTAATGAATATTCTTTTCATACAAATTTTGAGTTGTTTTTAATGTTTTTTAATAATTTTCTTAATTTTTTAAACTGGTTTTTATTTATTTTATTTTTTTTATTTTTAGGGAATTGCCATTTTTATACCAGCTTTTTCAATTATTGCTTTTGCGTCTTCAACATGGATAATGTATTTTGCACTTATGCTTTTCTCATTTGGTAAGTTTTTGTTTCTTGCTCTCTGGCACGACAATGGATGTTAAGAGGCTGATTTGGATGTAATGTGTCTAAAGGGAACTTTATTTATTTATTTATTTATTTATTTTTTTGAAGAATTTCACCCCAAGCAAGGCAGGAGTGCTACTAGTACGCAAGCAGCCACAGTGTAAATAAAGGAAAAGACTGGGTATAGGTGGGGGGTTAAGAAAAGGATAAAAAGAACGGAGGAGGATAAAAAGAAAAACGAGGATCAAGGCAACAGATGTCAATTGACATTACATTTAAATTTTTGAAGATTATAGATATCAGGTAAGCAAGTATAAAGAAAGGAGTTCCACTGTTGGGAAGTGTGAGAGAAGAAGCTGTTGGAGTAGAAGAGGCAGTTACATTTAACTGTTTTGACAGTAAAAGGGTGGGACCAAGATACTAACCTAATAGCACGCTTAGATTCATGCAATTGGGGCACCAGTGAAAATAGCTCATCTGAGCAGATGCCATGAAAATATTTATAGAAAAGACAGAGGGAAGCCACATTATGTTGGTGAGAAAGTCACTGGAGTCGAGACCCCAACTCAGGAACAATCGCTTTGCATATCCATGTTTGGATTTTGTTGAGAATCTTGAGATGAACAGTGAGGGTACCAGAGCAGATATAACAAAAAGTATTCCATGCATGTACAAATTGTAGATGAGAAGGATGAACTCAGACGAGAAAAACCTGTTAAAGTGAATTGTTATCTTTTCCAAGTCTTGTAAAATTAAAGAAATGTATTTTTTTTTTTTTAAATGATAGTGAGATTTCTATTTTAATATCTTTTCAAAATTTTTAAGCACTGGTCTACAGAAAAAACGTTCATCACTTCTATTATATATAAAAACAATGTTTTTATTTAGATGGACAGAGATCTGCTTGTATATCTCTGTAAAAACACATATGCTCATAAAATATAACTTAGGTATCTCTGACTGCATTAAAAAGTTGGAAAAAAATTGACTAAAATCAAAGCCCTTTGATATGGCTGATACTAACCTCCAGGAGATTAACTCATTGCTCCTATTCAGCCAAATTTTTTCCCCCCTGACATGAAGTGGAAGAATTTATCTTGGATCATTACATCTGCTGCTAGGAAAGTTAGTTCACTGTGTTATGCTAGACAATATTGCTCACCAGAACCTATCTTGTATCTTTATAAGTCTACTATTTGTTTATACATTGGATATTGCTGTGAGATCTGGTTAGGTGCTTTTGCTATGTATTTTCAAGAAATTATTCTGAATGAATAGACTGTTCAGGCTGAGAAAAAGGAAATAATAGCACTTAACCTTAAGTTGCGAAAAATATTGCCCTTTCCGCAATGTATAACCGTCTGATAACTAGGAATATAACTCATTGAAGGAAAAAAAAAAAGATTTCCTCTCCTTCTATACAATTTATATTAAGTCACATGACCACTGCAACTATAAAAGGTGAATACAGAAGATAACAAAGTTTTTTGTTAATAAGCATTTCTACAAGCCACAGGTAAATATACACTCCTTTTTTTCCCCACTTGACCAAGTCAATTTTTCCACACATTCCCGAGAAACAGAAGAAAAAAAAATGAATAGAAAAAATATAGGGAACTACAATGCCTTACCGAGAACAGTTAACAATATTGGTAGAATCGTATATTTTATTTATTTGAGACAAGATAACTCGAGTGGCCCAAGGAGCAGCCTCACTACTCAACCAATCTGAACCATGGCTCCAGAACTGAATGCAGGCCCTGAACATTTTTAATAACATGGCCCCAGTGATCAAGTCAGCAGAGTTCTCTGTGTTCAGCACATACTGGAATGAAGGTGAGAGGCCAAACAAGAACTCCATGCTCATCTGAAAGACGTCCTTTGGTCTGTTTCTTGCAAAGAGGTTCTTACTAACAAGAGAGGACTACCTGAGTATCTGTGGCCACATATATTATGATTGGTTTGAATCCTCCAAACTTTCAAGGCAGTAAGCAAGCATTTTAGAGTCAAGTACATTTTGCCAAAACTTCCAAAGTAAGAGTTATTCTTTTAAAGGGTGCCACCTTAGCCTCAGTAAAAACCAAGCAAGATTGGTGGCTCTGCACCACATAGGCAACAAACCCATATGCCTCTGGCACTGCATCACAAAAAAGGAACGGGTCATCACCCTTATCCTCACTGAAGGACTTTTAGGGGAAGGAAATGGTCCTCAATCCAGAGTAGTCAGATGAAAGGCTTTTCCACTGGTATGAAAACACCCGTGGAACCTGCTCATCCCCTCCTAAGCCATTCTCTCATAGCTCACTTAACAGAATTCAGCCCTGCAATAAGACTGGCAAGTATAGAGACAACTGGTCAAAAAGTCTTGATACCTCAGTAAGAATTTGTCTCTTTGTAGAAGCATTAGCATCACATTCAATGGGAGTGACATGTTGCATATCAGAGAGATGGCTGTACCGATATCCCAGCAGCACCTTCTCCCAATCAGTTCCATGATTACTCAGGGTACCATCCACCTTCATTCTATCCCGGATCTCTACACAGTTGCAAGAATGCAGATCAAACCCCCTGCCCTGTTGCACTTGCTTCAGGAGAGGGCATAAAGATTGCACAGCTCATCTGGATGATCACCAGTCATCACCACATTGTCTATAAATCCTTCATCATGCATCTGCAAGGATCTGGGGGAAAATGAGCTTCATGGTACCAGAGAATACAATTTAATATGAAGGGATTAGATTTGAATCCCAAAATGATGGTGGTGTACCTGAAATAATGCAGGTGACCTCTGTCCTTCAGAAAAGAAAAGCAAAATCTGTTCTTGTCCAGTTCCATTTCCAGACAGATCATTAGGAAGGTCCTCCTGATATCTACCAACAAGACATGGTTATTTGTTCAAAAAAAAAAAAATTGTTTATAGTTACTTTGTTCAAATTATTTTTCAATAAATAAATTGCCTTAAAATTTAAGAACATTAAGCACAATTTAAGAACAATTTACGAACAATTTAAGTCACAAAAAAGAGAAAAAGATAATTATATTTGTTCAAAATGAGACCAGTAAAATTAACAAGTCACTTGTAAGGTTCACTTCCTGGTAGGCAGCCTCGTTAAGGGAAGGGGGAGTCACTAGTCTTGAGGCTGCAATTGAATACTGGTTGAATTTTACTGGTGGTAGTAGGATCTGACTTCAGGACAGGCCCATGTGGAATCCAAATATACACACCTTAAAACTACTGAGGAGGAGTGAAAATCTCTATTATTCCGTCATTTCCTGCTGATGGAACACCTCAAAATAGTCCAGATAAAACCAGTCACATTCCAGTCTCCATGCGACATTGTCTAAGGCCACAGAATAGTTGGAAGTGACACAAGATATCTTGCTGGAATCCCAAGGTAATTGTACATAATACTTATTATCCTTAAAGGAGATGAATCATTGGAAGCGCTCTACCATCTGTTCATCATAGTTGGACAAGTCTTGTTCTCTTACCCCCAGTAACGCCACATTGAATATCCCCCCCCCTCTTGTACATCACTGTCTCAGAAGAAGTCACTTAGAGGGTCTTCATATGTGCTCCAAGACTCCAGCATGAAACACAAGTGTGAAGGTTTCAGGACTGGATTTCAGCACAGAATCATATGCAAGGTACTCATGGTCCTCATTCTGAGAGTTCCCAGATGTGAGAAATTGACCCACTTATCCAAATGGAACAAGCCCTGTTGGAGCCAAAAATGCCCACTCTTGCAGACAAGGTACCAGTTGAAGGGGTCCCAGGTGCTGAATTAAATTGAATCCAATTATTCCCTTAATTGGAATGAAATTTGTGCATCTGTCAAACCTGTCAGCAAGGAGGCACTCGATGCACTTGAATTCATCCAACAAAAAGTCCAGTTTTTTAATATGTACCAAAAAATATGTTTCCAATACTGGGAATGAAAGAGGACAGACACTTAAACCTGATTTCCAGGACTATCTCCTTGAAGGATTTGTCACAGTCTCCAGGTAGTATAGACAAACTGAATTCACAATCAAGTCCAACAGACTTTAATCTATCGAGAGGCTTTAAAACTTCACTGGACAGATAAGTCTACCCCCTACCAGTGTCTAACAAAAAATTGGCAATGACTCTCTTACTGTTCCTAACAAAGAATACATATAGAACTGGGGCAGGTTAGTGGAACTCCCAAAATGTGTCCAGAAGTAAGAATCCTTACAGGTGGCATTAGATCAGGGCCTTGACTGTGTATCCTTAAGAGTTACTTGTTTAATATTAAGGGTAGAGTAAAAGGAATCACTCCCCTTGATAAAGAAGTGCTTGACAGCCTATCTAGTCTACATAAGATAGTAGACAAGGGAGTAATTTTCTTACCGGAGAGCTGAATTGTTTCATGCTTAATTTCTCTGGGGAATCTGGAAAATAGAATCTTGGCAATGAGCCGATCTCCAGGAGATCAGTCGTCAGAGAAGGTACAGCAGAAGGAACTTTCTAACTCCACCAGACAAGAGGCAGTCTTAGAAATGAAGTCAGTCAGGGTAGTGAAATGCTTCTCCCATTTAATGGAGAAATCCAGTATGTCCTGAAAAATATTGTCAATTGTTTCATCTTTATCAAAATAGTCATTCTTCAGGACAGTGAGGGCCATGTGATTAATTCTATTGGAGATTCTGAGATGATCAATTAACAGTAAGGGTCTGCCAGAGAGGGAAGATTTTAAGAAGTTTAGCCCCTCCGAGTCATTGGATAACCAGCCACACAGTTCTCAAAATGAGAAAGAAAGTTCCAAAAACTCATATGGTTGGAATCCATTTCCAGACCAATTAAACATAAGACTTGTAATCTGGATCAGTAGTGGTTTCAATCCAAATGAGGATGGCCTTTGATCAACTTCTCGGAATCTTGGAGATGACTAATTCAGCTAAGTGGCTTTGGCAGGGAAGACCTTAAGTTTGAGATCCTCAAGGTCCCCTTGGAAACCCCAGTGAGTACCTCT